CTTTAGTACCTGTTTCAGTGACTTTCTCTACTCAGTCATCATCCTAGTCATTCCAACATACATATGACAATACTCTCTCTTAGATCCTTGGAAACCTCACTGCATTAACTTGGCCACCCACTTCTGCTTTAGCCATCTAGTTCCATGACCACACCCAGAACCCTGAAGTCACCTGGACCTGCTTCATCCCTGAAATTACAAATTCAGACACCTGCTCTATGGTTGTAAGTTCTTCTGTGCTCTCTGACCCCTTCTGCACCTGTTTCTCACCCTCACCAGCGGCCCTCTTGGGACTGCTGCACTTCTTTTCATCTCTCTTCCAGTTACCTTTCCTCTCTGTTGTCTTGCTTACACTCCAGGACTCATTACTTAAACCTCTCTTGCCCTCAACATTCTTAACTCCCTAGCCCACAACTCTTCGTCCAACCATGTGCCTGGCAAAATCCTAACCCCAGTGCAACTGTCCCCATTCCTCTTCCCACAGGTGTCCTGCAGAGCCACCATACAACCGTCCTGACTGGTGACTCTGTTCTTTTATGACGGATATTATCTTCCAATCCTGTAAGCTACCCAGCAATTTTTTTGTTTCTCTGGTCAGTTCTCTTTCCTCATCACAGAAACTACTTGACACCTTTTTTCTCCATGCCTCCTACTTTACACATAAAATCAAAGCTTTCCAAAAATCCTGCATTAACTTCTTGATGTTAAATTTGCAAATATCTGCATTAAACACCCACTGGTTCATTCTTTCCCACAGACACCACAGAAAAGCTCTCCACCCTGTGGAATGCTGCACCTTCCCTTGTGCTCTGAAAACAGTCTCTTCTCTCACATTTTCTGGGATTTTGTCCCACTCATGCTCCCTTTCTCTAACATTTCCACCTCTCCCTCTCATCAGCAAGAGACATGCTCAAACTACTTTATTTAAAGTAAGCCCACATTCCCTTGGCCTTTGGCTTCCACCAGCTCCTGCTTTCCGCTCACTTTTGTTCACACCCATGTTTCTCAGCTTGTCTGCACTTAACTTCTCATGTCTTGCCTCGCTTCTCCGTTGTTCTGTGATTCTGCTTCAGACCCCATCACCACCGAATCTGCACTTGCTCAAGGGCTGAAACACTTCCTTGCTGTTAAATCTAATGGTTTCTCAGTCCTCAGCTTAATCAATCTCCTTAACTGATTTATACATACTGGATAACTCTCTCTTTCGTGAACACTTTCTCCTACTGGCTTCTGTGATAACCTTCTCCTGATCTTTCTCTGCCCCTGACTACTCTGCCTGGTGCCTTTCATGGGCATGTTGTCCTCTTCCGCTCCCTTAAACGTCGGCGTCCCTCTGGGTGCTCCTGAGGCCTTCTCTTCTTACTTCAGGTGCTCTGCCTCATTCCTCCTTCCCAGGCTTTAATTAAAATCAACCTCTGAATACTGTACCTGTAATTGCTCAAAGAGTTTCTGAAAGTTACTTCCTACTAGAGTATTTTATTATAACTTAGTAGCATCTGTTAAAGAACATGGAGTTATAACATTCTCTATGTAGAGTCTCTACTGTATATCCTCTAATATAAACTTGCAAACTTCATGACTGCTTGGTTAAATTCCTTCATTAGTAATACCTTGGTTAAATAAAACACATAAGTAGAAATTTAACAACAAACCAAAATTACCTTTATCGCCAAGGTCTCTAAAAAAGGTTGATCCACAAGCAGCTGTTTGGATTCCTCCCAGTATATCCTCGATATCCTTTGAATACACATATTAAAATCTTTGAATTTAATTTATTAAAGTTCATTTTCCAGCTTACCAAAAAGCAAAAACAAACACAAAAATAAAAGTATACCCCCACACATTGCTTACCTTTTTTGTCAGCTTCTTGACTGAAGTTTTACCTATGGCAAAAAAGAAACATTATTTGTACCCACATTACTTGGTAAAACTTAATTTTCACGAAGACAGAAAAATCACTTAAAAGAGAAAACAAACAACTAGACATTTATTTAAAAATATATGGCAATGTAGCTAGTATCTGTAACCCAAAGTAATGAACCAGAGAACTGTAGTTCTTTCTAAGACCTTTCAATTTCACTCACCCTATTTCAACATATGAAATCTTATAACCATCTTTGCTTTCTTAGTTGTCTGTGTCTAAATAAATTCTTGCCAAACATGATTTCTTTCTTCATGTGACTGTTAAAATCCATCCTTTTTTGCTTTCACTGATAAAAAAAATAGACATTCGTGTTTTAGAAAGCTTCCTTTCTGAACCCTGAAAAGTTCCCTTAAGATAATAATTTTCCAGTCAAATTTAAAAGGCTAGCTAACATGACCATCTAAAGTGATTATTACTTCTAATAGTAGTTTCCTACTAGATGACAGAGATTAAAAATTTTCAGGTTTTGGCCATCTCCTTTACTGTTTACATTATTATTCTCTTTTCCACTGTAATGCTAAAGCAGGTGGCTTCTTTTGTTGAGACTTATTCTGATAGCCTCAAGCCATTTTACACATTCAGAAAAACACTGAAAAATATTTGATTTTGTTTCTTATGTAAGCCATGTGCATTACAAACTTCCCTTCTTGCTCTCAAAGTTATCTATGAAGTTCCTTCAGCGCAATTGCATGGTCTATGAAACTCAGGTGACAGGCTAAAAAATGAGTACTTTAAGATGTGCCTTTTCTGTAGTTTGTGACATTTAACTCATTCTATAAATCTATTGGAGCCAGATTCTATTATTTTGTATTAATAAATTGTCAATTTAAGTTTTGCATTATTAATCAAAATATTTTTGGGACTATGAGTATATAATGTTTAGAAACATCTATGACCATGTTTGTAAGCATGGGTATTACTAGTTTGGGATAATTTTTATTCATTATAAACTACTATGTGTCCTGGTGACAAGGAACTCTAGATTCTAATGTTAGGTGCTTTTATACCATGACATCGAAGTTACCACTTAATTTACAAATCTAAGTGTCTGTGAATATATATAGAAATATGTAGTAATATTATGCTGATAAGACCAGAAAACTGTGTAATACATGTATATTACCCACCTTTGCATGTTCTACTAACTTAAAGAAAGTTATCATGATTCATATACCTTATATTGCTTTTATATCACAAATTATTCACTACCATATGTACTTTTAGCTTTAGACAGTTAAGGTTAGTTCTATCAGTTTTTTAAAGAGAGATTATTGTACCCAACTGAAAAAGTACTCTAGGAATCAATAATCCACATCTTAAAGTTGCCACCTTGAGGTGGCAGTATGAACGGTTTCTAAGAAATAAGATTGTATTTCTAAGGGGTATTATATCTGCCTCAGAGTTAGATTTCTTTTCGGTCTTTTAAAAATCTTTGTGCTTAAGAAAAAAGTTCTTTTACTTAAAACTGAGTGAGGAATGAAGGTAATGTTTGCTTCCCTGCAGCTAGAAGTCTTGATGCCAAACAGTTAAGCCAATATAATTGAGTGCTATATGAATGAAATAGAACAATAAAGTCACAAACTAATTGATAATATATTTATAAATGTAACACCAGAATTCCAGGCAAGAACTAAATTGTAAAACCCTACTGAGGCAGACTCCATATGTCTCACATTTACGTAGTTCAGAGATTAACATTTAAATATTTGTTCAATGAAAAGAAATTGAAATAATTCCAGAATGTCTTTTTATTCAGATCCCTGCCTTTTAGTGCTTAATAAATTATTATTCCCATTTTACAAAAACAAATAGGGTGATGAGCTTATACCAGTAACAGGCAAGAGGAATTAGGTTACAATATGGGCTCCAGAGGATTTTTTTATTATAAAGATTTTTCAAATTCAAGTGTCAGATACTTTGAACTCTGTTAGTGATGGGAACCTGCAGACTACTTCCAGCACTTCAGAAAGCTTCATAGAACTGAATAAATTAAGCATTATATGGTTATAGAGGCAGTTTTATAATTATTTTTGACTGAACTCAAAATGGTTATTTCATGCCTATTAAAAGTTGTGCTTGGTACCTGCATATGCATTTGATTTTCAAAAATGAGGAAACCATGTACTTAATGAGCTTCTTTTAAAAAACACTTTTCAAAATGAAACAGTAATTAGAAAGTGATAAAGAAACTAAATTATCTTAAGTGATATAAAGGGGTCATTTCCTTACATAAAATACATTTTTAGATTAAAAAAAGTTAAGCTACTAGGAGAGAATACCTAATATCTCCTTTCTCCTAAGTTAATAAACTTTTCATTGAGTAAGAGAAAGGGCTGTGAAGCTTCAAACCCAAAATGCCCTGGTAAGGTTGTTTCAGCAGGTGGCTCTTACCCAGGCACGCCTGCGTGTGCACCACATGGGCTGCACCAAAACAGGGACCAAAGCATCAAAGTGGTTCATGTCCCGATCTGCTATATGAAGAGCCATGACCTTTGCGCTTCTGACAGAAATTTTACCACAAGGACATATTAAATATACCTATTTTTGGCCACATTTTTCTTGTTATAAAACTAGAAGACATTTTTCTAGGGTAAAACTCATCTTAAATAATGTAAATTTTTCTTCAGCTTTTTCATTTTCTTCCTTTTTTTTTTGGTCTGTCTGTTTTGGGGAGAACTACTGCTTTTCTTTGGCTGTTTATACTTTCATGCACATAGAAAAATTTGGTTTATTATTTTCATATACATTCATGCACTAATATATGAAAATAATAGAATGGGGGGAAAACAGCAAAAAAGGTAGAACTAGAGTTGGGGCTGTAATGTCTTAATGTATGAGTATGAAAGAATGGAAAGTACATTATGGCTTTTCTTGGCAGGGGAAGAAGGTATAGCTCTCTAACACTGATGCAATTCTGGCTCAGGAAATAGAATGTTTATAAAGGTCTCCACCTATTCTAGAGAGTCCATGATGCGGTTTTTCACTGTTTACAGAGGATTTCTGAAGGAAAAAGCAGAAACAAGTACATCTTGTTACATGCAAAAAGCCATTTTAATACTCTTTAAATAAGTAAAACTGCATTAAAACATATTAAGGGTTGTTACAGGCCAAATAAAGCCTCTAACAAAAAGTTATTTGATAATCAAAACTATAAAAATATTACTAATGACAATGAATTCAATTTTACTTAGTTAGAGGTAAGTCAACTTTTGAGGCATAAAAATTATACAATAGGGACATTTCCATTATTTCATGTCTTTTGCATGAACAATGGAACAACTTGGCATCAATATTAGAATTACTGTAAGACAGAACTGGTTACTCCAAAACTTGCTTGGATTCAGTCACCGGTAATAAGGAAACAAGGCAGAAAATGACACACTACTAGCAAAACAACTCAACTCCCTAATACCACTAACAAAATGATAACAGGAGGAAAAAAAGGCAGGGGACAAATTCAATGGTGCAATTTTCCTTTCCTTCCAACAAAGCATATGGCTTGTTTATTTTTGCCGGAATGGAATACCAGAAATACTGTTGCAGCCATTTTTCTTTAAATAGTAAGAGCAAGAGATATCCTCTGAATGGTATTTCTTTGAGAGGGAGACAAATGGTGATCCCTAAAATGTCTAAAACTGGCCTCCGTCAGCTTTGCTAAGCAGGGTCTTGAAATACATTTAAATTGTTTTTGAAAGGAGGAAAAGGAAATGAGACTTTTTTTGCAACCTCAAGCACTGTGAAAAAATTAGTATCAACATTATACCAACAAATTATAGTTTAAAAACTGAAATAAAGGGGGAAATACAGCAGCTAAGAAACTAAATAATGGGGAGAAGGAAGATAAAGGAAAGCTTATCCAAGGAAGAGATGCTTAAGATCTGAATTAGCTCAGAAAATTGGGGTTGAAAGCTTTCCAGGAATAACATGGGAATCAGTTGTGAGACAGGAAGGGTGGGACTTTGAGGAACAGAATAGGCCTAGTCAGTCTCTGTTATGATGAGGAGGATGAGGAGTTGAGTGCCATGCAAATAGTTTTGGTGGCAAGAAGCTGAGATAATTTCTATCTGATGATTTCTATTTTCTCTTTGAGCACGTGATCAGGTAGGTAACTTGCTAGAGTGTATGTATGTCTAGGGGCTTGTAGAAACTTAGCATGCTCCATCAGATTGCTAGTATAAATACAACTGATTTTCATATGCAGATGTTGTATCCTGTGACCCTGATAACTCACTTGTTAGCTCCAGTTTTATTATTTGTAAATGCTCTGAGATTTTCTACATAGATAAACCTGTCTTTGAACACAGATGGTTTTATTTGTTCCTTTTAAATCTCTAGGTCTCATTTATTTTTCTTGGCTTTTTGCCCTGGGTAGGACTTCCAGTACAGTGTTGAAAACAAGTGATAAGATGCAAAGCCTTGCTTAGTTCTTGATCTTAAAGGCAAAGTATTCAATCTTTCACTATTAGTAACTGGCTCTATGTCCATACGGCGTTTTGGAATCCAGTCTCAAAAGTGCTATGCTGTCACCTCCATGCATATTCTATGAGTTACGAATTAAGGCAGTCACAAAGGTTTGGGGGAGGGGACACAGGCTTTACACTGATGGGGAGTGACACAGTTGTGGGAGAGCATATATGACTAGAAATACTGCTATAGCCATTGTGGGATTAAATCTGCTACAGCCTCTTAACTGATTTATCCCCTTATATGGAATAGTCCCCTTGGTGTTCACTGGAGGAAATTCTATCCATTCTTCTCATACCCTGTATAAAGTCCTGACTATGAAGTCCAACCTTCACTGACCTTTGCTGAAACTTTACACACTTAAGATAGTCTATCACCCAGACTCTCATACTAGATTATGAATCCTAATTTATGCAGTATTTTATTTACCAGTATACCGCAAGGCTTAACACAGCGACTTACATGAGATGTATCCAATAAAAAATTTAATAAATG